GAACTCACAGAGTTCACCTGCCTCTGCCTCCCACCTGGTGGGACTAAAGGTGTGTGACACCACTGCCCAGCAAGAGTTCTCTACAAATATTTTTAATCATGGCATTTATTGTCAAAAGACCTAATCCTATTCTATATTCTCTTTGAGGCAACACTAACTCCAATTTAATTATTATCGTCCACTGAGGAAGCCAAACTGAATGATTAAACAGAGCATTTTCATTTCCTGTTTGGTACCCTGATTGACTACTCATAGCTTTAATCTATATGGAGCACTCTTTAAATTGTTTGATAAGCTACTCCTGAGTTACCAAGCTCCTCATCTAATAGTCTCCTATGATCAGCAAGTACAATAGCAGTCACAGTTAAGAATACCCCGTATGGACTCTGCCTACAGAAAGCACCCAGACAAGCCCCAGGTTCTCGCTCTTCGGTCCTTGCAGTGGCATCGTTGATAAAACAGGCAGCTAGAGAATAATAAACATTACTCTAATTCCAAACACCAACAGAACATACAGCCTATTCATTTCTTATATCATCCCAATGAAGGGTCATCAGGCTCTACAAATCAAGCTGTACTTGTTTATACCAAACAGACTTAAAAGTCACGTCATGAGTCTGTCAAGTCATATAGAGGTAATTGCAGTCATTCTTAGCCAAACATTATGAAGTTTTTATGGTGCCTTAGTCCTGATAGCCCACAGCCACAAGCTCTCATTGCTTTGTCTCATAAACTCAGACTATGAACAAATCTGTAGTCAAACTATACTACCTTTGTTTATTACAGATTACATCCTTTAATAGCAATGTGATGATCTAGCTTCACTATTATCCTAGTAGAACTTAATATACTAGTAATGACCCTGTATTCCCACTATGTGTTAGTCACACCATAGAGAATAGTCACATACTACCTTATAACATCGAGCATCCTTCACACTAGAAAATACTTTGATAGTTATGCATCTACTTCCTATCACTTGATGCCAAAATTACTTGAAGATTTATGTGCTCTAAATATAACAAACTATGCATTGCGAGTCCAAAAATAGAAGCTTAAAATTCCTAATTAACCGGCTAAAAAAGTATATAAGGACTACTAAGACCATGCCTCCATTTATAACAACACGACCATCCCAACTTTAAGAGGAAAGTGTTGATCTTGGAGCCAAAATATCAGTGCAGCTCCAAACAAAAGTAATAAATTTAAATTTATTCTCTTCTTCTATCACCTACCATCTTATACTGCCAAATTTTACAACCTAGCAGCTCTCTAGTCAATCCTACATGACCATTCTAGACAATGGATTCATTTATTAATGGTATGACTTTTATTACATGCAAACATATGGGATTATGAACAAATTTCCCTCTTCAATCCTGACCCTCACATTGTCCCGTTGGACCATTCTCCCTTTGAACCCCTGATCCTTGGGAAAATAGACCATATTCTATCTTGCTTGGTCTAAGGCATAGTACTTTTTAGCACCATCACGGCAATGTTATTTCCTCCTTTCTAATTAGGGCAAAATGAACGCACACACACTGTTTTGGTGATTCCTCTTTAGCCTTTGTTCACCATGGTTCTTGTCCATGTTAGACAATGGCCAAAGTCTTCTTATAGGGCTCCAGATCGGCATTCCCTACTGTAATTTTACAAGCCACTGTGGGTTTAGTGTATTTGTACCTTTTCCCTGTCACAACCACCACGGTGTAATTTGGCTTTGCTTCTGTTCTACGACTAGCATCAGCCTCCTCCACTGGATTCAAGTTACCAATAGGGACCAGTGCACACTCACGGGACTTTGCCTACTTAGCCTCATACGGACAACCCCTGGGTGCTTGAGACACAGCTGCCGAGCAGTGTTTTTAAATAGAGATGCTTTGCCTGTTTATTGACGTCTGTCAACTCTGCCTCACTCAAGCGTGAGAGGCTCCTCACGGCTTCAGACGCCAACCCAAAGCCTCCTCTTGGTAAGCTCCTCTGTTAGACACACTCTAGTCACACTGATGAAGGGTACCACGGCCGCTCCCACCGTCAGTCCAAATGACTCCTTGGCACTGGCCCAGCTCTTGTCACAGGCCACATCCTTAAGATGGTGTCCCTGAGTGACTCCTGAGCACGGAAACAAAAACACGGTTAACTGAGGGAGTTAAAATAAAAACTGAGAATTTAAATCTACTTTAGAAGAATAGATTCATCAGGTAGCCTTCTAATACTAAAAGTATGTTTGGAGTAAAAGAGAGAGAGAGAGAGAGAGAGAGAGAGAGAGAGAGAGAGAGAGAGAGAGAGACTACGGTTCCAACTGAAGTGTCTGGACAAAATGTTACTCTTGATCAAGAGGGTGTGCTCTGGAGGAGGGAACATACCTGGACAGGAAGTGCACCTGTTTTTCTGTTCTTCCTCTAAGGAAGCTGTGCCTGTGTGTTTTCCCCGCTGGCTGGGGCAGACCTTCCAACCTTACTTAATGGGCTAGCTTGAAAAGAACTGGCACACAGGAAATGGAGAAAGCCAAAGGCGTCCCTGCTCCAAACAAAAAAAGGACATCCAATTCCTAGACTGGAGCAGCAGGTCTCTGAGTTAACAAGGGTTTTAGTGTGACTAAGGATTAAAACATTTGCAAGTGAGAAAAGACTCTTATTTGATACTTCTTACACCAATTCGACAAAAGGAATTTAATTCTTAGATGTTGTTTAGTCTCATATATAGCAAAAAAACAACCAACCAACCAACCAAACAAACAAACAAAAACCCCACAGAAACAAACAAAAAGCTGGAGATGAAATGGTATCTCTTTCTACAGCAACGAATTCACCATGAACTTTTTTTTTTCTTGTCTGCTTTGATCTAAATACTTGTTGGGCTTCCCGAAGAGTTCCGTGGTTACACGCTCTGGGGATGTGGTATTGACTGTTACAGGCCAAGCAAAAGGGACGGGTTTGAAAAGCCAAGCAGCAATGCTATCAGATCCAACCAACACCAGGAAATGAAAAGCACGAGCTGAAAAGCACTGGGTGTCCGTGACTTCTCGTGTGTGCGCGGGCGGCTCTTGCAGGGGAGTGTTCACACACCTGGAAACAAAGCTTGCGGTGTACTGTACCTACAGGAAGAAGTATGCAAGCATGCCCTCCTGGAGACAAAGACTCGCAAGTCCTTCTGCTTTGTACTCCTTCCTTTTGCACCCTGAACACATTTAGAAGATTACATTTCTCTTCCCCCTCCCCACCCCCAAACTGTGGTGTTACAGCAACAGTATCATTAAGTAAAATATGCAAGGCATGAGAAGCATATAAATCATGCACAAACACATTAAAGAATTTAAATTACCTTTAATATGATGGGAGAGTAAAGAGTTTAGATGACAGCATCTAGGTTCTCCCCACAACCCTGTTGTTTGTTTTGAAATAGGTATCTCATTAAGTAGCTCAGACTGCCACTGGATTCCTGATCCTCCTTGCTTCAGCCTGCAGAGTGGTGGGACTGTAGGTCTGTGCTACCACATCTGGTCACGGGGTCTAGGTTTGGATCAGGGCTCACTGGGAATCTTCAACAAGTCACTCAACTGAG